TTTTTTTTTTTTTTTTTTTTTTTTTTTTTTTTTTTTTTTTTTTTTTTTTTTTTTTTTCTATAGAACGCGAGCGGGGTTATTTTCTTGAGATTTAAAATGAAAACTCGGTTGAGCTTTTAATTTTCGTTGATTTTTTCCATTTGTTGCGTGGATGATTCACTTTTATATCACACCGTTAAAAACAAATAAAAATTCGTTGTTCGATAATCGTACCGTAATTACCTTGCAATTTTTTTGTTTCAATAAATTGGGGGATTTTTGATCGACGATAGGGCAGTAGTTGTATAAAAATCGAAAATTACCGATTTTCAAAACAAAAAGTAAGCGGTGACACGCGATTTTTCAGAGAATTCAATCGGCTGTCGACGAGGGCACTCGAGCAGGCAGTTCGCGAAGAGACGATGGTGTGCGAGAGGCTGAATCTTCTGATGGACCTGCTGATAGCCCACAAAACGCTGTGCGAGAGGCACGAGCGTGGCGTGAGTGCCGATCACCAGCGAGCGCTTTCTACAATGTTGTCACTCAAGAAGCGTCAAATGCAGGGAGTCATACGCGGTACTGACGTATGTGCTCTGAATTTTTAATTGTTTTTATTTTTTTTCGAAAATATAATATGATATATTTTGATTCCAATTTTTCAAATTTTTTAAATACATTTTTAAAGAATAAAATTTATCATTGGGCAATTTTAAAAAAGAATCAAATAGTTTGACACATTTTTCTTCTAAAAATTTATTACTTTTTAAAATATGGTACATTCTTTTTTGCTGGAAAAATTTTTAGTATGTACCGTATTGTAAGCAGTAATAAACAACATTTCTAGCTCAAAATAATGCACCATATTTTTTTTTTACGAAAAAGTTACAAAGTATTTTAAAAAATATCCATGCCCAAGTATATCAATATCTATTTAGTAATGTGCACGAAAAAAAAAGAAAGAAAAAAAAAAAAAAAACTAAATAAATTTTTCTCAGGCGGACACGGTCGAGCACATGGAGAACAAAATGGTAGCCCAAGAGTCGGTGATCGCCAACGTGGAGTTGAGGAACCAGTTTTCCCTGCACTGCCTGCACATGGAGACGCAGTTGGTTCACGCGCACCTGGAAATCCTGGCGACTGTTCTGCAGAGCCTCGTCAGGGTACAGCGCTGCGGTCACTCGGAGGTTTTTGTCTTTTATTACTCATATCAATTGTTACATAATCTGTGGTGACATTATCGTGACTTTTTTTTTGTTTTTTAATTCACATTTCAGCTGGTCGAGGTTTGGAAGTCGATCGAGCCGACCATCATGAAATGCTTGCCCGAAAAGTCGTGCGACAATTCAAATGGATTTTCTTGAGACAAATCGTACGCAACTTGTCAACGACGATGACAAAAAAAAAATTCTCCCGAGTCAATTATCACTCTATTCATCATTAACCGTAAGACTAATGAAATGATATTTTTTAGTTATATCCGTGAAGATGCTGGGATTGTTAAAGTTTGCATCGAAGCGCGTAGATTGGCATAATCACCGTCGATATTACGATTGATAGAATTTTATGTTTTGTTTTAATTGTAAATTTATTGAATTTTCTATAAATTTTAAAATTTCCAAGGAAAAATTATATACCGTGCATATATCGTAAGAGCGTACGAAGAGATCGTGTGATATGTACTATTATGCTTGATTAATAATGTTATACGAAAAAAGTGCCTTGTAATCTAAAATAAACGTGAGTAATGTGCGAAGCAATATTTACGATGATAATAAAGAGCAAACAAAGTCTCATACATATATATATATGTGTGCGTATGTTGAGAAAACCGGTAACTTTTGCAATCAAATTCCAATTAATTCACACAGTCCGATGTTTTCGGTTCGTAAATATAAAATTTTTATTCTCAAGACATTCCAAGTACTTAATTGAAATGAAAGTTGGATTTTTTTTTTATTTTAATTAAAACGAATGCAAGTGCCGATTCCAGTGTTCGATATCAAAAAAGTCATTGCGATGTGCGATGCAATAAAAATTATTATAAATACAAGTTTATATATACATTGTTGTGCGTAATTATTTTATAACGCTTATGTGGTTATTATTATTATTATTATTTTTTTTTTATAAAAGATTGTACAAAAGATGATGATTAAAACAGTTATTAATTTCAAATTGCCCAATTTATTTGGCTCACCAAACTAATTTACAAAATTTTCTTATGTCTTTGCTAAATTTGTTATTTTAACCGAAATTATACTTAAGCTTCCCCGTTTTTTCCTCTAAAATCCTTATCCCGTCCGTTTAATGGTCAGCTAAAATGAAACAATAAAAAAACAGTGGAAAAGCAGTTACTTCAAAGATTGTGACCGTAAAAGGCTCAATATATATATTTCATAATGATTTTAGACCATAGAAAGTTAATAGTCCATGTACCTTCCTTGTCCTTGCCGGAGACTTCGCGGAGTGTGAGATTTAGCCTAAAGCTAAAATACTTGCATGTAATAAGTATGTACATTACAATTAAATTTTTATTGGATTTAATTTATACATAATAGCACACTTGGCCCTTAAAAAAGTGTACCTTTGGATTGTTATCGTTGCGAAAAAGAATATTATGGCTTTCAATATCTTCAGACTTGTTTCTTCCTACTTTTCCTCCAAGTAAATATTATTTTAGTGAATAACTAATGATAAGTGATAATAACTGATGGCAAAAAATTTAGAAAGCCCAGATTCCAGATTAAGAATAAAATTTAATTTTATAACCATGAAAACTATTAGTTATTATTAGTTACCGTCAGTTATTACTTTCTTTTGTCCTAATTGACCTCTCAGAAAATAAAAGCTTATTAATTACAACTGTGATTAATTATCATTTATTGAAACTTATATCTTAAAATATTAATCATCTTTTATTAATTGCTATGAAATTTTCGACCAACTGATGATAATTATTATAAATTATATCAGATTGTTCATAAAAGTTATTCATTATCATTATTTAATTACGAATTTATTCATATTTTTTAATTTTGATTTTACCAATAAAAAAAAT